AGGGTCTTGCTAAGTTGCTGAGGTTGGCCTCCAACTTGTAATCTTCCTGCTACGGCCTTCAGAGTAGCTGAAATTGCAGCTGGGCACCGTGTAATGCCATCTTTAATGCTAAATCTCTGGCTCTGACTTGCACCCTACGGTTTTAGAAAATGGTGAAGAGAAGCTGGGAAAAATTAGTAGCAGTTTGCTAGAAGTAGAAAATTGAGTTCACCCCTGGGGCAGATTTTTCTTTGTTTGGGGGAAATCAACATGAACCTGACCCTGTGTAGTCACTGGGTCAGCCTGAATACAGCTGTTAACTGTTCTGCCCCGGCAAGGTAGGTAGCTAGCATTGGGACAGGGGACTACCTTCTTTTTATTTTCCTCCTGGACGTTTGAGGAGGACCTGGGGAGGGAGGAAATCTGAACCCGACCCCACTGATGTGGCTGTTTTAGCTAAAGTTGGGAGAGCACAATAGAGACAAGCTGTCTTCCTGAAGAGATTGAAGGGGCCCTAGCACTGTCACTTTGGGACCCAGGTGACATGTTTAGGCATAGAGCTGGGGGAGAAGACATTGTGTCCATCTCCACACAAAACTCCACATCTGCTCCAAACCAGAGGCACCAGAGGAGGCTGCAGTCATGCATGGACTCTGAGGACACTACAAGGAGCATCCCCATATCCTTCCGTGGACTCCACGAACCCTGCTCACAACTGCAGTGACATCATGTGACATGCCCCATCAGGAGTGCCCAGAAGTGAAGTGCGTGGGGTGGTGTTCAGGGTCACTGCAACTCACAGTTAAGGTAGCAACAAATAATTTATACCCTAGGCAAGTGAAAACAAAATATGAGAGACAGAAAAATAGCCTGCACTGTTAACCATGGTTACCTCCGGGTGCCAGCATTGTAGAGAAGTTTATTTTCTTCTTTGTATTTTTACAAGGTCTTCCAATTTTTCTACTATAAGCATTTGTAATTAGAAAAAAACAAAGTTAGGCCGGGCATGGTGCACATGCCTGTAATCCCAGCAACTCAGGAGGCTGAGGCAGGAGGATCTCCAATTCCAGGCAATGTTGGCAATTTAGCAAGGCCTTAAGCAATTTATCAAGACCCTTTCTCAAGGGCTAGGAATTAGGGATATGACTCAGAGGTCATGCGCCCCTGGGTTCAATACCCAGTACCAAAAAAAGAAAGCTGTGAATAAAGAATATTTTTATCTTCTTTCCATTTTAAGGCTCAGTGGAAGTCTCTGGTGTGCCTAAAGCTGTGCCTCTAGTAACTCAGGGGCAGCACTAGACCTGCGTGTGGCCTGTGTGCTTAGTATGTTTACTGCATGTCGCAGGTACACCTGCAGCTCTGCCAGCTTCTTCACCATAAGGAATGGCTCTCCTGCCACCAATGCACTCCCTCCACTCATCCCTCTTGCTGGATGGAGATATTTCTCAAGAGCACCTGGCCTGCTCCCACCCTAGGCCTGCATACTTTCAGTTTCCTTTGCTGGGTCCCCTTCTCCAGTCCCTCCAGACAGCTTCTCCACCTCTCCCCTCTTATAGCCTCCAATTGTGACTTGATTGTCATTTCTCAAGTTCTTTAAGACTGAACACCCTCCTAGCACTCTCTCCCCATTTCCTACTTCATTTCCTCTTGGACAGACACATTATCTGATAGGTGGTGTATCATACTTTGTTTATTATGTCTCCTCACCCTAGCCTGTAAGCTCTGAGGGCAAAGATGTTTGTCTAGTTTGTTATCTGCTATAATCTCCCACCTATGTGTATGCCTGGCATCTAGAAGATGCTCAATAAATACTTGCTAAATGAGTGAATACACGTTATAATAACCATAGTTAGCAAGTACAAGATAGTGTACTGGTAATTCCCTTATGCAGCCTTCACAGTGTTTTGAAGTAGGTGGGATTATCTCTATATGAAGAGGTTAGGTAACCCAGCTGAAGCCACCTTGCTATCACGGGCAGAGTGGGATTGGAATGCAGACCTGTCAGCTGCAGGGACCAGGAGCCTTGCATTTCAAGAGGCCTCCTTTATCATTATGGTTTGGGGATGTGACCTCTGGAATCTTTCTTAGGCCATGGATGCTCCTGCCACACCACATGAACACTGGGCCACTGTGGCGAGTCTGGGAGACATCTGAGGGGCATAATCCCTCAAAAAATGGACTCCCCTCCCCATTAGAGTTCTACAACTAGAGAAGCTGATTTGCCCCTATCTCTCATCGCCTCCTCCAACTTCCAATCCTGGATGCTCTGGGGTATGATGGAAATGAGAAGTGTCCATGCTTTTCTTTCCTTCCTTCTCAACCCATTTTTCCTACAGGAGGTTGGCTGCTCCCTAAGGATCCTCTGAGGACCAGTAGAGTGGAAAACCAGCACCACCTGAAATATTTGGGTTCAAGTTCTCAATCTGCTCTCCACTAGTAATGTCATGAACTTGGCCAACTTGTGCATTGACAGAATGGGAGGAATTTTTCTTCCCCGTGGTTTCCTTATAGTATTCTAACATTAGCAATGTGGAACTTGTGTCATAGGGCTGTTCTGCCGATGCAGGAGACCATGTGGAATCACACATAGCACCACAACTGGCACAAAACTTTAATTAACGCTAGCTGCCACTGTTTGGATCACACTTAGGTCACACTTGGCTGGGGAATTAGGCAAAGTCTGACATTAACTCCTAGGCTGAGGTGAGGGGTATGGACTGTGGCTCATCCTTTCTCCAATCATCCACTAAACTCTTCCCTAAATCTTCATTTTTCAAACTGATATTCCTTGTTCAAGGTCACACAGTCATCACTTTTAAAAGACCTTGATTAGGACACTTTTCAGAATACCTTACTTCCTTAGTCAATACATTTTCTGCTGGGAGGTTAATTGTTGCCATCTCTGCTGGACTGCAAGATTTGAGGAATAATTTGCACAAGTATCAGCTGCCATCATGACCAAGGCACGAAACATAATTACCTCAAGTGGAAACTGTGATTGGGCCTGAAACTGTGATTGGGACTACAAATGAGCTGCCACCTCTGGAGCCCTGTGTAACTGCTGGTGGCTGGAACTGTAACCTGCGCCTGTTTCCGAGCACTCCTTTTCCTAGTTTCAATGAGTCAAAATTCCCAACTCCAGCCAGGGATAGTGGTGCATGCCTGTAATTCCAGCGGCTCAGGAGGCTGAGGAAGGAGGATCAAGAATTCAAAGCCAGCCTCAACAATTTAGCAAGGCCCTAAGTAACCCAGTGAGACCCTGTCTCTAAATAAAACATTGACCTTCCCATTGTTCAAGACGTGATTTGTAGTTTTCAAGGGAATTTCCTTCATTGCTTTGCTGCCTAGTTGCACTAAATATGATTTGGACCCATCTGCCACTACTCTCTCAAGCAAATCCTTCCTACCCCAAACATACACATTGTTTTGCCCAGGAAGATCTAGTTCTATCTACTGTCTAAAGGGGAGCCAGATGGGGGATCTAGGCCTTCCTTCTCCCTCATGTGAATGACCATAAGCAATAAGGGAATTCATATTTTGCCCTGACCATGGCCACATGGGCCCAGTGGCCATACTCTCAGCATTTCTGAGAAGGATGATGCCATTTGTTACAATGGGAGGTCTTTCATCCTGAAGCAGGGGTACAAGTTCTGCCATCTGTACAATCTGGAAACAACACTGGGAATCACATTTGTGTAGGTCCACAATGTTATTTGATTGTCCCATGGAATTAACGACTAATTTGAGGCTTACTAGAGAGAGGAAATGAAACACTGAAGAAACACCGCCAACAAGGGCAAAATATAGGAAGTTTGAGGAAAAAGACACTCGACATGTAGTCAGCATTTTGAGAACACTGAGGAGAGAGCAGGCAGAGCTGAAATCCATGCTCACAGATAATCCCCAACTTTATATTTTAGCCTTCTTTTTACTTTTCTGCAGGCCAGCATCTTGCCATAATCACCTTGGCTACACAGCTCTTATATCTCCAGACAGACAGTGGAGTCTAAAGAAAGATGAGTCAGGTGACAGATGACCCAAGTCTGGAAGAAGTTCCAAGAAGGAAATGTAAAATAGCAAAAAGTGCAGGCTTGTGACTCGGTCAGACTCCAGCTCCAAACCTTGATCTCTCAGACTCTCTGTGAGATTTTTACAGCTTCTGAGTTCCATTTGAATAGTACAAAATGAAACAGATATTATTTAAAAATCATTAAAACATGTATAAAGTACCAGGCGTGGTGGCTTCCACCTGTAATCCCAGCAGCTTGGGAGGCTGACGCAGGAGGATCTTGAGTTCAAAGCCAGCCTCAGCAATGGTGAGGTGCTAAGCAACTCAGTGAGACCTTGTCTCTAAATAAAATACAAAATAGGGCTGGGGATGTGGCTCAGTGGTTGAATGCCCCTGAGTTCAATCCCGGGTAACCTTGCCCTGCCTCCCCCAAAATGTATAAGCATAAAAAAGCTGACTCATCTTAGGAGTTGAATGAATGACAAGTACCATTAGTATTTGTAAAATGGAGGTGGTTAGTAACGTCTGCTTTGTAATGTGACTTTAAAAGTAGGGGAGAAATGCTTTGGCCTATAGTAGATGTTTGATAAATGGTACTGTTGACCTGTGCTATGTTTGCCTTGAGCAAAGCCATCTCTGTCACTGATAAAAGAGTATTTCTATTCTACACCTCATTCCCTTAAAGAGATAATTATACTTGCCTAACTTGTTTCTTGGAGTTGTGATAACTAAAACCACACACAATAAATCAAAGGCCAGAAATGAGGAACAATGTGCTAGAATGAAACACACTGCATTAGCAGGCAAAGACTTTGGTTCTAGTCTATTTTTTACTAATCAAGTGACCTTAGGCTAATCATCAAGTAATCTAACCTTTAGGTACACACACTGCTGACCTCTCAGCCACTGTGAGAAAAAACAAATGTGAGAAACGATCACCATTATTGCTCCTTGAGAGCAAAGCCAGCTTCCCAATAACATCAGTATTCATCAAAGACACCAGCACACAATGGGCACTCAATATTTTGTTTAATGAATTACAAACTACTCAGAAGTCACATTTTACAAATAAAAATATTAGAAAATTAAAAATATACTAAATAACAACAAAAAAGGTCATATTTTAATCATTAGTAAACTTTTTTATCTTAATAGCTTTTGGTCTGATTTGTTGGATCCCCAGAACTGTGCCCCAAAGTAATTTGTATGCCCACCTTAACATACTAAAAAATGCTATTTGGACACAAATGGAAGCAGAAAAATCACAGCAAATGAAAACAGCTTTTCAATTATGACAGCTGTATGATTTCACAATCCCCCCACGCCCATCTCTGGTGTGAACCTACTAAGTCCCCTATTATTGTATGTGCCCTTTCTCCAGGATTATTCCCAAAGTGAAGGTGGTAGGCATGGTATATCTAAGATGCTTCAAGGAATGTGAGGGATGCCTCACAGGTCTTCACCAAATAGAAGGAGGTGAGTAGAAACCAGCAGGTAGAAACATGGAAGAGAGCACTGGGCTTACAAGCATCAGGGGAGATCTTGAAGTAGAAGTTTTCAGTAGTAGGAGACTTTCTATGTACTCTCCATCCACACTATAGATTTCAGAATTGTTACACTATTTGGCCTCTGAGGGCTTTGGTAGAAGAGGGAAACTTGTAGAGGTTGAGAAGGAAGATGGAGCAGGCCAAAATGCTTATGGTGATCATCAATGTACATTGTAACTGCCCTAGAGCAAGAGCACTTGCAAATGTAGGGTATTTTCCAAATCTGCCATGTTTCAGGTCTGTTTCCCACTCTATTGATGAGCATCTGCAATCTTAAAATCTTTTTTTTTTTTTTTGTACCAAGGAATGAATTCAGGGGCACTTGACCACTGAGCCACATCCCCAGCCCTATTTTGTATTTTGTTTAGAGACAGGGTGTCACTGAGTTGTTTAGTGCCTCACTTTTACTGAGGCTGGCTTTGAACCCAAGATCCTCCTGCCTCAGCCTCCCAAGCTGATGGAATTACAGGCGTGCACCACTGAGCTCAGCTTAAATAATTTTTAATACCGTCTTCAACCCTCCCCTAATAGCATCTTCTTTCTCTGTTCTTTCCTTTTCTCCTCCCCTAGAACCCAAGGGGTCTTTTTTTTTTAAAAAAAAAAAAAAGAGAGAGAGAGAGAGAGAATTTTAATATTTATTATTTAGTTATCGGCAGACAAAATATCTTTGTTTGTATGTGGTGCTGAGGATAGAACCCGTGCACGCATGCCAGGAGAGCGCGCTACCACCGCTTGAGCCACATCCCCAGCCCCCCAAGGGGTCTTACTAGCTAACCTCAAGCAGACCTCATCCAATCACCCCCAGCTTGGGTTAGGTGTACATGTGTAGCTTTCAACTCACCACACTGTAACTTCTCCAACTCTTAAAAAAAGGGACACATTCTATCCCCAAATGCCCAAAACAGTGCATCACAAAAAAAGATGCTTTACATGTTTAATTTATTAAGTGTACCAAGGTATACTACTATTTACTGGATTTAACTTTTCTTCCAGATACCAAAAGAACAAGAAAATAGAGGTAGGTTATCAGTTTTTTTTTTTTTTTTTTAATACAACAGACAAAAAGTATTGGAAGCTAGACACAAATCAGCTATTTTTTCCCTTGGTACCAGATCACACTGCTGAGGGTCCTTTAAACAATTAAATTGCAGCATTACAATGCTGCATAACCTGTTTTAAGAACACAGAATAAAATGCAAAGTTTTTCAATCCATTTTACAAAGACAGTAAAATTCTACATCAAAATCCTATAGAAAAAAAGACCCATCTCGTTTATAAATGATTTAACAAAAATACTAAAGTTACACAATTTTTTCAGAAACTAACTACTCTCCCCCACCTATACTACTTGTGACTCAAGACAGTAGAAGACAGTAGCTTCCATACCCAGAGGGCTCTTGTTGGCCAGCTTTCCTCTAGTCCTCACTAGTGGTGGAGACCGGCCCTTGCACTGGTTCTGGCTCTGACTCTAGCCCTCATACTGGCCTCAGCTCTGGCCCTATCGGCCTCATCTGCCAGGGCTTCACGGTACTGCACTGCCCAGTGCTGGGGGGTTCTTTCTTATGGAGCCTGGCCACGAACCCCAGGACTTTCATCTTGCTGATTTCCAGGCTGCTTCAGGGACCCAAGAGAATTCATATTCCAGTGGATTCGTGTGAGGCACCCGCCTGTAATTGAGGTATCGCTGCTGCACAAATTCTTCCATAATAAGCCTTTTCGGGTACCCAAAGAGGAAGTGATACTTTGAAGGCAGCACTCCCAACCGACGCAGCATGTCCCAGACCTGGGCCTCCCTGACGCTATTACCTTTCATGTAGATAAGCCCCAAGATCATCATTAAGAGACCCAATCTGGGGCCATCTCCTCCCAGATCCTCCTCCTCCTCAAGAGGTTTTAGTTTGTGGATGAGGATGTAAGTGTGGTGCTTGCGGTCAAGCTGTTTCAGCTCGAAACCAAAGACATACCGCAGATGCTCTGCGGCCCTTGCGATGATCTCCGGGAACAGATCCTTCAAATCTCCGACAACATACTTCACCATCTCAAAGCGTGTGACGGGACTCTTCTTCTCGTCCTTCACCAGCAGAAACTACACCACCTCAGCCACCGTCCGATTCAGACGGCGGTAGGCCCTGCGCCGCCTCAGGGCTTTGGTTGCCAAGGTCCTCGCGCCTTGGCCGGTGGGGGCGGGCTCCGCAGCCCCCTCCCTCACGGCGCCGAGGCCCTCCTTGGTGCTCTCCTGCAGGAGGGGGCTCAGGGCCAACTCCTGAGAGACGGTCAAGGCCACGGTCTCACCGTCTTGGCCGCCGTGCTGCTCCCCCGCGGCCTGAGGGCTCGGGAGACCCCGGCTCTCGGGCTCCCGCAACATGTTTTCGGGCAGGCAGGTGCACAGCGCGCACCCCAGCCGAGGGGTGCGAGTCGCTGCACGAACCCTGGCGGAGGAGTAGGACAGCGGCTGTGGCGGTGGGAGGAAGCACAGGCGCAACCCCGCGGAGAAGGTTTGTGGCTGCCGGACGGCACCGCACAGGGTTGCGAGCCAACGCTGCAACGCCCCGGGCGCCCAGGACCTGCGGCGGGGCAGCCGCGCAGCCTCAGTCCGCGCCCGCGCGCCAGCCACTTCCGGCCACCTCAGCCAAGATGGCGGCCTCCGCACGGCGCAAAGCAGTTCCTCTTCCGGCCTCCTGTGGGCTTCTGTGTTTGTAGAGGGCTTTAGGGGAACGTGCACCCACTGCTATGCTCTGGAAGCTGGGATGGGTGGAATGAGGGATGTAACTAGGGCTTTTCCAACCAGGGCAGGCAAGGTGGGGAATGTTTCAGTAGACAAGGGATGGAATTAGGATGGAGTTCTAACCACATTCTTTCAGCAAGTACTTATGTATAAGTGTGTGTTGTCCAGATTTCAGGTACTTTACTGAAGCTCAGGTGCAGAGTGGGAAGGTGAAGGATGGGAGATAAGCCTGCATAGTTCAGTTAGTGAAGGGCTTCAAATAGGATGTTGGGGAAATTGAGATTTATTTTGGACACGATGGGGAAAGACCACAGGGGGATGTCTGAGCCAGGTTGGTGGCTTTATACTCTTTCTGGTAACAGTGTGATGGATGGATTGAAGTGAGACCAGCCAAAAACTGGGAATTCAGTTTAGAAGAATATAGTGCAGAATGGGAGCTGAGACCTATCCTGGCACATGGACACTTAGGAATATTGTGCAATAGATAATTAAGATGAAGGGGTAGGAACAGCAGATTCTACAGGGATAAGAGGCAAATGAGAAGAGATTCACTGAAGAAGTACTGATAGGAATAGTGACTGGTTAGACAAAAAGGAAGTTTTCTCTCACTTCTTGTCTCTTCCTTATTCTCTCTCTCTCAAATGCACTCTCCAACATCTCCATTTTGCTAGATCCTGTCCACTATTCAGAGCCCAGCATAAACATCACCTTTCCAAAGTCTTCCTCAACACTGTAGTCACCATGCATGTAATTTATTTACTGTCATCTCTGAATCACCACAGCAATTTATATTTATTTAACATCCATATATATAGGCCTTATTATGTGCTAGCTCTTTTAAGCACTTTGCAAATACTAATGATTTGATTCTCATTAAGGTAAGTACTTACAGATGTCTGTGTCTTTCCTGCGGTATTTGTTGTTTACTAGCTATATAATCTTAGATCAGTTACCTGAACACCCTGCCTTTCAGTTGCCTCATCAGTACAATGGGTGTAGGAGTGTTGTAGGGACAAACCAGGCAAGGCATCGAAGATAGCAGGAAACAGTTTTATTTGACTGCAGACAGGTTCAGAGGGCACAGCCTTTGCTGTAATCAATCAATCCCCTGAACCCTGAGTTCAGGGAGTTTCAGAGTTTTATACCCAGCATGTAAGGGGAGGGGCTCAGAAGTTTACAGTCTGCAGAAGTTCACATAAAAGCAGCTTTTTCTTTCACTGTTCTGGGCACATTAACTCTTCAAGGACAACACCTGAGAAGGGGGGAGCTTCTTTCTATCCTCCCCCTGCCAACTGTTACCATGGAGCCCATTTGTAACTTATCTTAAAAATGTAGACATCTCTGTGAAGCCCAGCTCAAGGCCAGAGGCCTTGTTTGCACATTTCTTCAAAGTACTATACTGGATACATTTGTGAAAAACTAGTAAGGGGGTGTCCAGCACCTGGAGTGCTGGTATCTTCTCAGCCAGTGGCCAAGTAAACAGGGTGACACGAAAATAGGAAGTTTATCTACAGTGGACTCTTTTGCTGACAGTCCTAAAATCAGCCATGGTGAAGAGGGCTTTTCTGTGGAGAAAGGGGGTGCCACTTCAGGAGTAGTGACAGTTTTGTAGAGATTATGTAAAGTAATAGACATAAGAATTAAATGCAGTGTATGGCACATACTGAATGTCTAATAAATGTGAGAGATTAGTTATTGAGTATATGCTGCTAGTAATCCTGCTAGATAAATAGTGAATACCTACATTTTACAGCCAAGGTAACACACAAAGAAGTAACTTGCCCAACATCACACAGCTGGTATTTGAATCCTTACAGTGTGACCCAGAGACCAGACTCTTTAACTATTACATTAATAGATGATGATTATTATTGTTGTTATTTATCACACTTGGCTTTATAATTATTTTTGTTTTTATCTTTTTACCCTCCCCAAACCAAACATCCTAAAAGCTAGAACTATGTCTTTAACTCTTTTGAAGAGCTTTTCATAGTTCGCACTCCATATGTAATTATCAGTGAATAAATGATGGAAGGCTTTACTTTTTTCCTTAGAAAATAACATTCATTCTTAAAAAATATCAGACAGACTTTTCTAGATCTAAATATGAAATCTTTCTTTTAAAAACCTTTGAGGGCTGGGGTTGTGGCTCAGTGGTAGAGCATTTGTCTAGTATGTGTGAAGCACTGGGTTTGATTCTCAGCACCACATATAAATAAATAGAATTTTTTAAGAAAGAAGCCACATTACTTTAAAAAAATTTTAAAAATATATACCCATTAATTTTATATGACTTACAAAAACTTAAAATATGAATGAAACAATGTTTATTATAGTCTAGCTTGAGGCTATTATTAGTTTGCATGTGCCAAACATTTATGTACAATATAATGTAGGCCTCACAAATCCCTATTAGGAAGGTATTATTATCCTCATTTTGCAAGTGGGAAAACAGTCACCGAGAGGTTAAATTGCTTACCTCAAATCACCCATCTGTTACATGTTAAACAGGAAATGCAAATCCAGATTTGCCTAATCAGAAGCCTGTGCTCATGACCACCATGTTGGACTGCCTGGTTAGACACCCCTACCTAAAAGGACAGTGATACAAAATAATCTACTTTCATGTTTTTGTCACTCAAGCATGGCCAAGAGAAATATGCATGGAAAGTAGCATGTAAGAGAAATGTTGAAGGAATTTTGAATTAGTAATAATATAGCTGGATTTAAAAAATGGAATGAATAACATAATACTCATTTAGAAAGGGAACAAACTGATACAATTTGGATGAGTCTGGCAGACATTATGTTCAATAAAAGAAGAAAGATTCAAAAGATTATAAATCCAATATGATTCCACTTATCTGATGTTCAGAGCAGGTTAAACTAATGTATAATGATAGAAATCAGGATGGTAGATCTGGGAATGTAGCTCAATGGTAGAAATTAGGATGGTGGGCTCTTAGGGTGGGCTTGACTGGAAAGAGGTATCTAGGAACTTTCTGTAGTGATGGGAACGTTCTGCATCTTGAATTTAGTGTAGGAGTACATATCTGAAAACTTACCAAACTGTATCCTGAATACTTATGTATTTCACAGAATATAAATTATACCTCAAAAATTATAGAAATGATGGGCTGGGATTGTAGCTCAGTGGCAAGGCACTCACTTAGCACATGTGAGGCACTGTTCGATCCTCAGCACCACATAAAAATAAAATAAAAGACATTTTGTTCATCTACAACTACAAAAAAAGATTTTTTTAATTATAGAAATTTAAAAAACCTTTTTTTAATATTTATTTTTTAGGTATAGATGGACACAACACAATGTCTTTATTTTTATGTGGTGCTGAGTATCGAACCTGGGTCCCGCCTGTGCTAGGCGAGCGCTGTACTAGGCGAGCGCTGTACTGCTGAGCCACAATCCCAGCCCTAGAAATAAAAAACTTTTAAAAATTAAATGAACAGACCTTCAGGTGTGGAAGTTAGTAAAGAGTATGAAAGGTGAGTAGATTTGCTCTACACCTGCCAGTTACTAGATACTACAATGTCGTACTGAAGGAATGAGAACAATAGTTTTTTTCCAGTTTTGTGCCCACCATGTACTGGGCAGGCTGACTTTTTTTGCTGCCAGGGATTGAACTCAAGGGCACTCGACCACTGAGCCACAGTCGTCTTTTATATTTTATTTAGACACAGGGTCTCACTGAGTTGTTGAGGGCCTTGCTTTTTTCTGAGGCTGGCTTTAAACTCTCGATTCTCCTGCCTCCACCTCCTGAGCAGCTGGAAGCCCAGTGGGACAGGCTGATTTTCACCTAAGTTATCAAAAGGGAGGAAAGGCAGCTAGGCATGGTGGTGCACACCCACACCTTTAATCCCAGTGATTCGGAAGGCTGACACAGGAGGATCCCAAGTTTGAAGACAGCCTGGGCAACTTGCGAGACCCTGTCTAAATAAATAAATAAGACTGGGGATGTAGCGCAGTGGTCAAGCACCCCTGGCTTCAATACTCTGTACAAAAACAAAACAAAACAAAACAAAAAGGATACATCTCTTTGGTTGGAGGGATGGCAAAACACTCTGATGCCTGGTAGATTAGAATCTTCTTGAGGGAGGATTCTTTGTAGCCTGGACTAGTCTTGAAAGTGCACCAGCTTTAGTGGGGTTAGTATGTGGAAGGGGTAGGGAATTTACCTGGAAAAGTGGAATTGCAGGATGAAGTACCCTGAAATGTCTAGCACTCTGAAGGTGTGGAAAAGGTGTGAACGTACTGAGCCAAGTCCTTACCCACCCTGTGACCTTTCACAGGACATTGAACCTCTCTGGGCTGCTATTTCTTCAACTTTAAACCTGTTAACTCTTGCTTTCCATATCCCATGGGGTTATTTTGAGATTCAAGTAAGATTATAAATGTAAATGTGCTTTTAAAGTACTCTCCCATTAAGAAACCAGTATGAAATGTTGCAAAAATGTCTTTTTATTTAAGAGAAGTGGTAGAAAAATCCCAGCAATGAGTATATGAGTGCGACCGGCCTCTGATGCAGACATTTCGGAATGAGCTTACACATTCCTCTTTGAAAAAAACTGTCTGGCCAAAAAAGATTAAATAAAGAAATGTCAAGTACTGACACTCCAGCAAGGCCAGTGAATACTTTGGTGGGGAGCCAGTGTTATCTTGTTGGATTCCTTCTAAACTTGGCAATAGAGTCCTCCAAACTCTTGAATGCTTTCTTCACACAGGTGCTGAGTAACCTGTCACCCCACATCTGAGCAGGCCCCCCAAACTGTGTAGGTACTTGCGTTTTCCCTATTTCTCCTGACCATCTTGACAGCCGATCCAATTCCAAGAAAGGATAAGAGGAAGAGCTTTGTCTTGTATGTCGA